TCAACCAAAAAAGGCCGTACAAAATCAGGTGGAGTCACAAACCAAATCCCAGCCTCCATCACAACTCTTTTCGCCAACACATGAGCTACCACATTAGATGTTCGAGGGACAAATGACAAAGTAGCATAATTAAACTGAGATAACAAGCCTCGACAATCACTAATAATCGAACCAACATGAGACAAAAAAGTAGACTCTCCATTTATTGCATCCACAACCCTAGAGCAATCCGAGAACACCTCCAACTCCGTAAGTCCTTGCTCCCTTGCCCAACCCAAAGCCCTTCTACATGCCATCGCCTCCGCTAAACCTGGATCAGACTCACATACTAATTCTCCATTCAACGCAGCAAAAAAAGAGTCATCATGGTTAAAGAGAACACACCCAAAGCTAACCATAGAAGAAGGGGGGAATAAAGCTGCATCCACAAACAATTTGAAAGCTCCTGATCTTACTGGCCTAGGAGATGGTAAAGGCAGCCCAACCGCCCGACTAGAAGTACTCCTAGACCAACTTTTTTGAGTTTCAGTAACAAGACATACCGTGCTCGAGGGTGTAGGAACTTGAAACCGCCAAACTGCAGCATTGCGGGCTGCATTCACTTTCGATTGAAAACAATCTAAGTAAAAATTATTACTCATGTACCAATTGATGTAACGAAAAAAAGAAGTGAAACATTACGATTCCTCTATAAAAGTACAACCATGCTAAATTTACACCAAAGAATGTACCAAAAAATGTACATCAAAGATATGCACTAACATTTTGATGATTCACACTAGCACAAAATGCTAGTGCGGTCAAAAAAAATTTATACTATTATTTTGTACCTGTGTGAACCATCACATTTGTACAATTTTTGGGATATAAAAAGCTTGATTGATAAAAGTATTGTTATGGTTGTTACTTTTGTTAAGGAAAAAAAAAACATGCAAAGTAGGGTATATCCACTGTCTCGTTATCTGAATAATTCATACAAGGTACAAGACTACAAGCGTAACACTAACAAGGATACAATAAAGTGTGAACACATAGTACCCAACAAGGTAGGTGAACCATGCATATGTAAACATAGGAAGCACTGTTCCATGCCCAAAGGTTTTCAGCCCAAATCCAGAAATCCCCAAACCTAATGTTGTCAAAACCATCTATCGCACCTTTTACGAGAAGCGCCATGGTTGGAGGAAACCCCACAAACACCAAAAGCACATTACAAGCTCCCCGAGCGAACGCCATAAACGTATTTTTTGCATTTTTAAAATCAAGCCTCAAGGGTACGACGGACAAACACATAGGAACCAATAACAATGCCCCAATTTCAGCTGTTGCAAAGTTTATCACAGACATGAGACATAGTCCCACGAAAGCAGCTGTGATGTTTACAGACTTAAGAAGAGCCCATTCGTGTTTTCGTGGTTGATTTCTGTTTAAGAATGGGTAAGAGCCAGATAGGGTGTGCATGAAGATGAAGCTCACTGCAGAGAGCGCGACCCAAGCTAGAAGGTTCCTTGATGGAGAGTTATTGGGGATTTGGGAGATGAAATAAGGAAGTAACGTGACGATCACTCCCCATAAGTGCACAGCGAGGACAGTTTTTGCAGCAGAAAGCCATTTCCATGACGCAAAAGTTGAGACGGATTCATCAGAAGAAGCTGGTTTAGATGAGATTTTATCTTCCCCAAGCTTTGATTTAGGTGTATCAGAGTAAAGAAAAGCGGCAACCAATGGAAGAGGAGCAATGAGCAATGCAAAGGCAATCATGTAGACACCAACTGAAACAAACCTGCTTGGAGATGTCAAGAGATACAGAAAAAAGGACTGATGAAATTTCTCAAGGAGATTATTCACACACCGGATGACTCCTTCAACCAACCTGAGAAGTTTGAGGAACATATAAACACATGGAACCTAGTCAATAAATAAATAAATGAAGCAAACAGGCAAGGAAAAACATGTAGAATGCATTCAAGAGAGCACAGAAGCAAATAATGAAAATAGCAATGAACAGTTACCAGCAAAACCCACTCACAAAAGCTAATCGTGATGGAAAAGCACACGCATTGCATGGTTTAACAACATATGGAACGAGAGCAGTGTGTAACTAAAACTGACCTGCCAACTCGTATAAGGAACTGAACTCTATGACTTGAGGGAAACTTGGGTGAGATTTCCAAAGTGATTGAATCAATCTGATAGTCACGGAACGCACCATGTGGGCCAGTTGGAACACCTAATGCCTGGTGCACAAAATCAGAGGTACTAAACAAGCAAATGAAGTTTGCAAAAAAAGGTGAATCAACAGTCAACACAGACTCTGAGCAACATGCTGCTCTAGCCTGGAAGGAGAATAGAACTAATATATGGGGATCAACCATTTAATACTTCTAAAACTATTAAGAAACGAAGGGTGGCCGTAATCATGTAAGAGGTTCAAAATGATGCCTTAAAATTCCAAATAGTGGTTAGCCAAGAAACCAAAGCAATTACCTGTTTATATAGTGAACTTGCCAGCGTGGCAGAACCTTCAACATAATCAGAAACAGGAATGCCAAATTTCCATCGTGGATTTAGGCTTTTGGCAACCTGTCCTAGAAACTCGATTAGTTCACCCAGACTTTTAAGCCACCAAGAATCAATCAATGACCAAACTTTTTCTACTCTCACTTGTAAACCATGTCCATGTACAGCCAAATAATTAACAATGTTTATAAGGTCTAGATTAGGCATCTGCCCGTTCGACGCTTCAGCATATATGTTAAGGACATCCCTCTCAAACTCATTGCTGCTATCAGCAACCTTAATGACAAGTGCTGCAGCCATTGTGCCAGCACGTCGAAAGCCATTAGATACTGAATCTCCAATAACATTTGTCATTTTATGAACTGGCAAAGTATTAGCACCACACATATCTGGATGCAGCTTCAAGTCACCAACTGAAAGCGTATGATAATCTCTAAGCCATGCAGCAACTGCAGCATATTCCCCATGCTTTGAGTCAGCAGCAATCCAAACAATATCCTTAGCCAGCCAAGTAACTCGAGAGAGTAGAGAGAAGACTGAGTATGCAACTCCAAGAGATAAAGCTTCACCCATGGTAATCTTGACAGAATTATAAGGGGTGACCATCACAATAGCTTCTTTTCCATCACCACGTGGAGCTCTAACGATTCCAACTGTGTTCACCCCATAAGATGAACTGTTATCTTGGACTATTCCTGCCTCGGGACCCGAGAAAAAGTGCAGTGGATTAAATTTATTAGAACCCGGCCGGAACTTGTGATAATTAACTTCAGCACCCAACTCCAACATGTGCTTTGCAATCACCTCTGGAATCTCACTGGATGCACGTAACAGAAAGCATAATTAAAATTCGAACAAAAATTGAATAAATTTAGCATGATAAGAAAATCAAGCAGAAAAAACTACATCTTCTCTTAATCTCTTTTATAATCTTAACAACATCAAGTACAAATGATTGCCAAGGCGAGCTGGGAAAACATGGCTCACAAAAATTGTTGATGGAGGATAAACCGCCAATCTAGTTTGTTTCCTTAATTTACGATCATACTGCATTTATATGAGTTGAAATTTCAAACACAATTGCACAGCCTCGCATTGGCTTGTTCAAAATACTCCCTCTGTCCCATAAAATTCCTTGCACTTTCCTTTTTTGGATGTCCCAAAAAATATCATACACTTACTTCATCTCCTATTTTGGTAATGAATATGTGGCTACCAATAATTCTTTTTTCTCTAAACAAATTCTAACCTCATACTTTTTACTTTTCAACAACTTTCTTAAACTCTGTGAATAAAAAGTTTCAATGATTTTATGAAACAGGGGGAGTATGATAATGTCATCTAACGTCTTAAAAGGAATTATATGACATTTAAGCATGGCCCTCTACTGAAAATGGACATGTAGAAGAAAATACCTACATGTCAGAGCTAGAAGTCTTTGAACCCCAGTTCAGTATCTTGTTCAAAAATTTGTTCCCATCTGAAGCATCTTCGGTAGAGAGCATAGGACTTGCAGAACCTGGAGAGTGACAGTTGAAAAGAAAATAATTAGGCCACTATCATCAGACAGTGAAACCACGTGCAGGAAAAATTATATGGTACAACCAGAGGTACCGTACATCATAACAAACTTGTAATTGAAAAATGTTTCAGAATGAACACTATGTTTTTTCAGAATGAACATTGCGTTGTTTCAGAATGAACACTGCGTTGTTTTAGAATGAAGACTGCGTTGTTTCAGAATGAACACTGCATTATTTGAGAATGAATACTATGTTGAGTAGGCTTGGAATGAACACTACGTTGTTTCAGAATAAACACTACACTGTTCATAAAATGAATATCATAATTATAATGAACAAATGTGTGAAAATGAACACTACGTTGCTTCAGAATGAACACTACATTGATTCAAAATGAACATTTTCTGGATGTATCTAGCTCTAGGCACACTCAGATGTATAATATAGGCTCTCCATCATTTTTTCTTATTAGTTGCAACCTACCAAAAGCAATAGGCTAATGTGTAACACAAAATAATAGGCAATCACCACAGAAATAATAGAAAAAGTTCAGTAGAAAAGCGAAGTATACCTACAAATAATTGACTCAACTACATAGATTATAGATCAGAACTAAATTCCACCTAGAAAAGTCATGCTCCGGTTTCTACTATGAATTCAAATTCATCAACAACAGCATTTCTACGGCTTCGTAACAAACCAAAGCATATTTGTTTTCTAAATACAGCAAAGAGAAGAAGATATAAAGCGGTAAAAGGGAGAAAATGAAAAGGAATTAGTAAAACCCACCAGGCATCAGGGCATTTTCAGAGATATACGTGTTCTTAGCAAGAGCAGGCAAGAGAAGCAGAGTTAAAACTCCTGCTAAGCAACACACGACGCTGCAGTTCATATGATATGAGCTTGTATTTTCTCTCGAATAAGAAATCAAATCAACAATTTTTAGAATCAACAAATGATTGACCGCGTACCTGACTAAAAAACTGTGTGAAATCAGAAACAGTCCGATGCGAATAATCGGCCGGGGCTTTGGTTTGACGGACGATTCCGCCTCCGCCATCGTCGCTGGCCGATCGGCGACGGAAAATTTATTGAAATGGGCTGAAAATGTTCGACATTGGTGAAATGGTGCACTTCTTGCTTTGAAGCCTGACCGAGAAAGCCTGCAAAATGGCCAAAAGAAAGGTGAGCAATCTCGGACTACGGGCGTGTAGTGGTTTTGAGTAGTGTAGGACAGTCCGGTTCGATTCGTGCTCCTCAAAAGCGGGTTCCGGGTACCCGTTGCAGGCCTGTTTTCTTGTGTTCCAGGCCAGTTTTTAGGTCGGTTCTAGGTAGGGTGTACACGGTACGGTTCCGGGACGGTTCTCGTTCGGGAACTTCCGATTCCGGTACCGCCACCCCTTGGTACCGTTACCGTGACCGGACCGGCCGGTACCGGTTCTGGTACCCGGAATCAGTTCCGGTATCGGACCGGCCGGTTTTCGGCCACCCCCAAATTATTATTATTTTTTTGCTTTTTTATTAAATTTTTAAAGTGTAAAATTGTAAGTGTGCAATTGTTAAAGGAAAGAATGAAATAAAAAAATCTAAAAATGCAATTGATAAAGGAAAGAATGAAATAAAAAAATCTAAAAATGTAGTTATTATTTAAATATTGTAAAATGAGTACTACACGAACTGAAGAACAACTATATTTAATATCTTGACGATTCAAAAAAAGCGACGAGGTAAAGAACCGTAAAGAAACCCTCGAATAAGCTTATATATCGCTCACCTAAATAAACTAATTACATATCTACATTAACATAAAAAAAGTTTATAACTTATTCCTCATAACTCGGGCTTCCATCTGTGGTTGCATTCATGTAATGATCGAAATTCAAATCGTATCCTGACTCTTGAGCTCGACGTCTTGCCATGAGCCAATCTCGGTTGCAAACAAGTGTTTCAAGAGATTCAGTGCTAAGACAACTTCGGAAGTCGGTTTGAATGTTGCCGCCAGCACTGAATTCTTGTTCCACTGCTACGGTTGATAACGGGACAGATAAAACTTGTCTTGCTAGCATTCGTAGACATGGGAACATGTGTTCGTTCCACTTCCACCATCCGAGGAAGTTAAACTCCACGTCGTTGTCGTCGTAATTGCATGACACCCCGTGGTACATAGCAAGTTCGTTGTGCGAGCTTACTGTTGTACCACCTGAACTCGTGGAAGGCTGAGCACGCTTTCCTTTCTTTGCAAGAAGCCCACCGACTATTCCTTTAAAACCTTTTTTTGATTTGGGGGCGGAAAAGGTGCTGTTTTTTCGGTACATTACCGTATTTCCCTTGAAATTCCTTAAATAAAGCCTCAAAAAGAGTAATAGCATTATCTCTTTCTTCTTCGCATTCTATTAAATGGCTGTAGTAATAATTATTTTCATCTAAAAAACAACTGTAGTAATCGTCAATTAGAATTTTATAATTTTCAATCTTAAAGCGTAGATCACAAATAATACCTATTTTATAAATATCAGGAATGTACATGTTGGGTTATGGAACCCGGGGGCTTAGGTAACTAGGCGGATGAATATCGAACTGAGTACGAGTGCACAAAGTATGGGGTCGAGTAAAACTGAGGATAGTATTGTGCTAGTTGGAATATCAGTTAGAACGTCCGTCCGGAGCATGTGGAATGAGCTCCTCCCCCTTCCCTCTTCCAAGAAGAGGGGTATATATAATGGGAGAGTGAAGGCTAGGGTTTACATACAAAGACCAATGGGCCGGCCCAACAGGCTGGGCCGCCCTAAATAAGTAATTGACTAACGGGCCGATCGCACAAACTGGACCGCCCTGATTAATATTATACAAAGACCGGATACCCCCTGTCCAGGGTATCCATCATGAGTCCCCTACTTTCCGAGCCGAGAGGAACTCGAGGTGAAGTGGAAGTAGAGCAACAATTCGCCACGGAAGAACACTGTCTTCCTTGCTGCATCGCCAACTTAATGTCTCGAGCCCGGTGAAGTAAGGCAAGCAACGCCACAGGTCAGAAACGTAATGCCAATTCGCTGTTCGGAATGGCAAAAAGAAACACATACTCTGCTCATTGTCTTGAAATGATTTGCTCTCGTACAAAGTACATCGCCGGTTCGCTATCCAGAGTGCAGCAATCACCGTGAGAGTGGATGAATAGGTCGTCATCTTCATAGATCCACCCACATCCCGTCAATGTGTGACCCACTCCACGGGGGGTGCCTCATTAAAAACTTGCCGAGGAAAAAACCCATGAGGATGGGAAAAAATCCTCGGTCAAGAAAAGAGTACATCTCGTCCCACAGAGTGGATCAAGAAAACATTGCTAGGGTGTGAGGTCTTCTGTGTGAATCTAGAAAGAGGTGATCTTCAAGTCCCCCAGACTCGTTGTCCGGAGTCGATGGCTGTTCGACATAATGGATTGCCGGCGAGTGCATGCCGACACGGACTACTGCAATCTGATACGAGGTTGGGATGTCGATCGCCAAGCTCTCACGATATGTGATGTAACAATCACGAGCCGAGCACCCGGAGTCCCCCACTCCCTAAGCCGAGGAAGAATTCCGAGGTGAAGGGGAGTAGTGTCCATGCTTGGCGCCGGTGGGAGTCTGTGGCTTCCTCACGAGCTTGAATGGCTGAGACCGAGCTTGAATGGCTGAGGCCGAGCTTGAGTGGCTAAGGCCGACCCTGAGTGGTTGAGGCCGAGCTGGAGTGCTCCACGAGGTGGTCGAGGCCGAGCTCGAGTGCCCCACGAGGTGGCTGAAGCCGAGCTTAAGCGGCTGAGGCCGAGCTTGGCCTTCTCATCCTTCTAACCTGCAAAATGAGTTCAAAAAAAGAACACAAGGCGCTCGCGGGCTCGGATGGACCGATCACCACGCGGCCAAGAAAAAGTAAGTCAACTTATGAGTTGGGTCCAAAGTTTTGGACAAAAGATAGGCCTGATCAACGGAGTGCGCCGATCGTGTAGTAGTCTGGTCTAGAACAAACCTTGACGTCGTCCTTAGTGAGACCG